ACCTAAGTGTCCATCAACAGATGAAAGAATAAAGAAAATGTGGATTATATACACAATAAAATATTATTCAGACTTAAAAAAGGAAATCCTGTCATTTGCAATAACACTGATGAACCTGAAGGACATTATGCTAAGAGAAATAAGCCAGGCACATAAAGATAAATGGCACATGATCTCACTTATATTAATATGTGGAAACTAAAAAAGTTCAACTTCTAGAAGCAGAGAGTAGAATGGTGGTCACAAAGGGCTAGACAGAGAAAGGTAAGATATTAGTCAAAGGGTATAAGGTTTCAGTTAGGAGAAATAACTCCTTTTAGTGATCTATTGTACAGAAGGTGACTATAGTTAATAATGTAATGTATATTTCAAAATCACTAAAACAGATTTTAAATGTTCTCGCAACAAAGAAATAATAAGTATGTGAGGTGATGGATGTTAATTAGCTTGGTTTAATCATCCCACAATGTATTCATGTACCATAACATTAGCGTGTGCCCCATAAATATATGCAACTACTTGTCAGTTAAAAAATAAAATATATGCATTAAAGAAAAGAAAAAGAAACTGGATTGTGAGACAAGCTTTATGTGAATATCCGGGCTACATTTCATGCTCTACTGATCTGAAAGACCAAAAAGCTAACCAAAAATTTCCAAGGGTAAGGATGGAAAAAGAGCAGATTTCTTCTCTGAACCACCTGGGACTTTGGACAATTTCCAATTTTCCAGAAGAAGAGTTAAATAAACGAACACTGAAACCAGCAGATAATTTTAGTATTAGCTGATGTGCCAAGAAGCTGAGAAGATCAATTGAATTAGGATTACATTTCCTATCAGGTCAAACATGCCTGTTCCAGAAATATCCTATGAGAAAAGGAGTTGTGGTTTGCTTTCACTTGACAGATTGGCTTTATTCCTTCTTGGCAACTACGAGAACAGGTCTATCCAGTTTCATCTGAAATGTTTTGTTTTTCTCTTGAAAGCAATGATGCTAACATTGTATGTGAGTGCACAGTCAGTTCTTACACAAAAAAGCCTCATTAATATTAGAATATCAGACAGGATTATCCTTTTTTGGTCATCCATAAGAATCCTCTTTTGCTTTCAAGAATGGCTGATCTTACCCGCATAGAGGATTGTGCTAGGAAACTATGAAAAATATCTGCGGGAGGGAGAATGGCACAAGACAAATATGGATCTCACTTCATAATTACAATTTAGACTTTAGAGTAACTGGAAAATTCAATAAACTTAAATACCTGAGTTTATAATAATGCTGAAGTTAATCTTTTCTGTCAACTTTTCAAAGTTTATATATAAAAACCATATATATTATATATACATTTCTGAATATTTGTGAATATAATTAAATATTGAGAACAGGAGACATTTTTCCTTCAAACAGAACTACATCAAAATTCACAGCTATACTATAATAAATAATTTTATTGTTAACATCCCAGAAACATGTTATTAATTTGGGCTTAATTTAATGATGTACCATTTAAACAACTATATCCTGAACTTTAGATCTTCAAACAAAAGCCTGGTAAACACGTCACAAGTATGATGACTTATTCCTAGGAACACAAACTCTGCTTTTGCTAGTTTCACCTGCTTCAACAGTTGTAGGATCCTTAATTAGATAATACTATATTGAACAGAAAAATCTCGGAAGCTAATTTATTGTGACTTTGAAGGAACAAAAACACAAGTGCGTGTGCACATACACATACCCTAGTAGCTGCAAAACTTAAATTACAATTCAGAAATATGAGAGCAAAATATTGGAAAACAGAAATTACTCTTGATCTCTCTGATGAAATGCAAAGAAATGTCCTTTCACTTGCTTGGCTTGCCTCACTATGTCACTTCTCCCTAAATGAAATTCTAAACACATCATCATCATCATTCCTATTCTTGTTATGATTAATTATTTTGGTTGTTTCTGAGATACAAACGGAGGGAAATTAACATTGCTATTCCTAGTTTATTTTTTTCCTAATAGAAAACAAGATTCAAAAAAGACACATGCTGACAAGCAAAGTTGTAAGAATATGAAGAGGTCATCATCTAAGTTGTGTGCACTGCTTTCCAACACAAAATTGTCCAAATTTAAACTTTTTTTAATTTTTCAAATTTAAAAACGTTTTACAACTTAAAACCTACAATGCTTCTCAAATTTTAACAATAAATGCAAACTGCACAATATTCCTTTAAAATTTATAAAATTCCTTTCATAATTAGAACACTTTGAGGACTAGTATCTGATTTTCTATACCTAATTAAGATATATATGCCTTACAGTAACTGATACATTAACCATAAAGTTCAGTTCCTCTTTTTATGTAAGGAATTTTAGGAGAGTTTAAACTGGCAGTAAACAAAACAAAACAAACAAACAAATACACACACACACACACCCCAAAAACAGTCTGCTACAAACACAATTCAGTCTAAACTAATCCCTGGAGAAAAGCGCCTTAACATTTATAACTATACAAGGAAAAAGCTAATCTAGAATTTAAGCTATCAGTTTTAAGTTTCGTGTTTATAATTTCGAAACATTTCTTATCATTCAATCACCTTTCAGAATTTTGTGAAAATGAAATGTGTAAATGCTAGAACAAATTTCAAAAGCAAAGTCCTACCTTCCCCACTCCCTAAACAACTCTCTTTAAAAACAATGGGAAACTGCTGCACTGTGGTTCACAGGGCAAGCCTTTCAGGACACAGCCTTGTCCCTTCACACCTCAGACTACAAGGCTAGAAGCCGGAGTTAGATACAGAGTTCCTTTCTCAGAGCAACTTCCTAAAAATCACAGTAACTGAACAATTTATGAGGTTTTTCATGTGCTATTTTCTTAAAATTTTCTCCTAGGTAATTAGGAGTTTTAAGTGTGACTTATACTAAGCTTGAAAAATGTTAACATTTGCATTTATTTTAAATTATATACTCTACAGCACAAAATAAGTCAAAATTGATTTTTTCTTTAAAATGAAACACTTGCTATCAACTATAGCTTCAAGCTCATTTAATTAGTAACAAATATTTATTGAAGGCCTACTGTATGACAAGCACTGTTCTAGACGCTTGGGATATGTTAGTGAACAAACTCTTCTAGAGCTACCGTAAATAAACTAAATTATAAAAAAAGAGTTGCTATATAAAACATCAGCTGAAAACTAAAAATGAGTTTAACATTCAACTTTCTTTGAAACAATACTTTCTTTAAAAGTCTTACACCAGGTTGTCAGATTATCTTAACGAGCAAATCGAGATTCAAAAATGTAATAACATAAGCAAAACTCAGTAATTTAAAGAGGATAATAAAATCCCACAACAAAGGCCAAGAAAAAGTAAAAACTGCTACTAGCAAAGCATATTATCACAACCAAATTAGGAAGTCGTATTATATAATGACAAAGCTGATACAACAAAGGGAAAGATCTTACTCCTTACTGAAACAATGTCTTCACCCCCCCCCTTTAAAGAGCCCTAAATTTCTTGGACTCTCCCACAAAGCACTTTTATTTACCTGTAATGATTTCCTCACAGACATCAAATACTACCAACAATAAATATCTTCATGTTTACAGTCATTAACAAAAAGTGATATTTAATCTCTATCCCGTCCTACATGTCTAATTTCAATTAAATAAGTTTTCCATATAATCTTCCCTTACAATTTGATGGCTTCTAATTTTTCTCCCAAGACACCTATAGCAAGAGACTGTCCTTCAGGAAGGCAAACCTCTATTGGGTCATGCCAACAGAACAGGTTGTACCACAGATGCTTTCATATACTGTCCATCCCTTGGTATCCAGGGGGGATTGGTTCCAGGGTCCCTGTGGACACCAAAACCTCAGATGTTCAACTTCCTTATATAAAATGGCTTAGTCCCATATACTTTAAATCAACTCTAGATTATTTATAAATACCCAATACAAGGTAAATGTTATGTAGCTGTTATACTGTATTTTTATTTGTATTATTTTTTATTGTTGTATTGTTGATTTTTATTGATTTCTCCCCCAATATTTTCCATCTGAGGTTGGGTGATGCACAACCCTCTGATACATAGGGAGGGCCAACTGTGCTGTTATCAAGGAGCTTGGCATAACTTGTCTCAGTTTGCAGATAAGGAAACTAAAGCTAAGAGTGGTAAAGTGGCAACATAAAACAAGATTTAAATACAGAACTGCAACCACTTCAGCCTGCAGTTCCCAAGAAAAGCTACGCTAGATTTCTGAATCTAAAGCACTGCCCCAAGAATAAGAAAAATCACGAATAGAAAATAAAATGAAAGAGAAACATTCTCTAAGTACCACTGAAAATCTGAAGACAACTTTGAGTAAGGTGCCAAAACGGTATGCAAAATGGAAGACACCCTGCCCGGTATGTTTCCCAAGAGCATGTTCTACAAACCCCAAATGCAGGTAATATGAATTCTCTAACCTAAACATTAAGTGTTAGAGATCCATTAAAATGACCCAATTTCTGGTCTGAGGTTAAAAAAGCAGAGAAACAAAGGAGTGAGGCTAGGAGAGTTTTTTTTGCCTCTTGGGCCCCGCTTTGCCTGATCACCTGCTGAGGATTCTGAGGACTGACCCAAACCTGGATGCGAGTCCTACGGGAATCTGTAAAAGCAGAATCCAGGCTGAAGCAGGTGCCTCGGTTCACATCCCTGACAAACGGATATTAAAATGTGTGTCACCTACACCACAAGCTAAAAGCACCCTTCCTCAGCAGAGCGAGGGCAATGTTTGAGGTTCCACTCACTGGCTACTCACTGGCTCCTCCCTGCCCTGGGGCGGCCCGCCCGCCGTTTCCTCCGGGCCGTTACCTGGACCCCCAACGCCCCGCTCCGCACACCCCAGACCCCTGAGCGTCAAACCCGGGCGCAGAGTGGGCAGGAGGCCCGGCCGGAGACTGGTGCCCATCCCGAGCCCGCCCCGCCCTCCCGGGCCCGCCCTCTGTACCGCAGCCACCTCACCTCCAGCCGCAGGGACGCCCCGCAGCCGCGCAGGAACTCGCGGATGTTGCTCAGGCACTCGCTCTCGCTCCGGGGCTCCGGGTAGACCTGCAACACAGATCACAAGCGCTGAGCGCCGCGGGCCGGCGGCAGGGAGGCTGCGGACCAGGCCGAGCGCAGGCCCTGGCGGGCGGCCTCAGCAACGAGAGCGGGCGACCTGGCGAGCAGCCCCCGGCAGCCAGGAGCAACCCCGCAGTCCCCCGCGCCGGCCGCTTGGCCGCCGCTTCTCCTCACCCTTTTTCCTTCCTCCCAAGCTGCACCAATCTCTGCCCCTGCCCGCACCCGGAAGTGGCCCGGCGCCGGAAGTGACGCCATTAGACCGCGCCCCGTCAACCTGAGCGGCCTTTTCTGGCCGGCCCTCGGTCCTCGAACCTGCGTAGGCAGCCCACCGACTGGTCAGGCGCGGCCTTCTCCTCCGGCCCAGTTTTGGGCCTCTACCCCTTCCTCTCGCCCAATCTTCGACCTTAACCTCGGCCCCGGACCCATCCCACCAGGCCAGGCCCCCCACGGCTGCCTCCTTCCGGCGCCCAGTCCCTGACCTCGCCCTCGCGGACACAACGCACTGGTCGGCCCTCGCGCGCTGCCGCCGCCTCCCCACACCAGGTCCTCAACCTCGCCCAAGTGGACGCTGCACTGCCCAGAGAGGCCCCGGAGAACTCCGCCTTGGCGGCTTGAGGATCCCCAAAAGGGATGGGAGAGAACCTAGGGTCTCTTCTTTCTACCCTGAGTTCATGGGGAGTGCAATTATTCTCATGTGAAGACTTTAAAATAATTAAGCAACATAAATTATGCATGTTGGGATTAAAGTGCAATGTTTTCTTTTCCTGAATCAGGCCATGTGCTTCTTGAATAATTAATAGTTACATGTGAGGACTGAACTCTGATCTTTTTCTTTTGCTAAAAACTCTTTCCTAAGGAGGCCAGCTGGGTCAGGCTGACAAATGGTAAATTCCTACTAAGTGGCTTTTGTTAACCAAATAAAGCAGTGGTTTACTTCCCAACCTGATTCTGGTATGGCATTAACATCACCTAAAAGATAGGAAGCCCCTGTCTTAACTCAAGCGCCCTAGCAGATGCCTATCATAAATTTAAAATATCTTAACCATCCTAGCAGGCGCCTATTGTAAATTTAAAATGTCCTCCTGTCTGGACCTCCCAGAGTGCTCATACCCTTATCTTAAAGTAAGCATATCCTTTCTGGTCTTCTAGATAAAGTCTAACTCTCTCAGCCAATTGCCAGCCAAAGAATCTTTAAACCCACCTATAACCTGTAACCGTCCCCCCTTGGAGATGTCCCACCTTTTTGGGCCAAACCAATGTATGCCTCTCATGTATTGATTTGTGACTTTGCCTGTAACCCCTGTCTCTCTGAAAATGTATAAAAAACTGTAACCCAGCCACAGCTAGTCCACTTGCCCAAGGCCTCTTGACAGTGGCTCCGGGTCATGGTCCTCAAATGGCTCAGAATAAATCTCTTTAAAATTATTTTACAGAGTTTGGCTTTTTTCCATCGACACATGACAGCGAATAAAGTCAGCTGAGAAGAAACTGGCATACAGAAGAGTTGAGGGGAGGTGCATGCAGACTGCCTAGTGCTTTGGTCCAACACAGAATTGTTAGGACCACTGGTTACACGCATAAAGTATTTGGACCTCACTCATTGCAAGAAAGTTTAAGGAAACCAGGAACAGTATCAACAACTAGAAAAATCTAAGGAGAAGCCTGAGACATCAGAAAAGCTCTATGGTTTTGATTTTTAATCTAAGGATCATTTTATCTGATTAAGAAAATTTCTGTTCTTAATTGTATATGAAGACATTAAGTGTTGGTATTTACACTGAAACATCATCTAGAACTCTAGCATTAGAGGACATTAAAGGCTTTTTTGTCTTTCTGTAGAAGAAAATTATGACATTCCATCAGGCCACTCTCAAGAATACTGTAGTTTCATATTAGAGTGTTCAAATCTTTTAACCAAAACCAGGGTATTCAGAGATGCCAAGAGAGATGAAATGAAACATTCCTACAAAAAAGTGCTGATATGTTCTCCAAATTAAACAGATTTGTTTCTTCAGTAGAACAGCAAAACCAAAGCTACCATTGGTCCAGTTTGCTCTTCTTCTCCCTAAAAGAATTTTCAAAAATTATGTACCATCTAAGTTTTTTCTTTAGAATTTTAAATAGTTGCGAAGGGTAGACCTGCAACACAGATCACAGGGCCCTGGCGGGCAGCCTCAGCAACAAGGGCCGGCAACCTGGCGAGCAGCCCCTGGCAGCCAGGAGCAACCCCGCCATCCCTTGCGCCAGGCCGCTTGGCCGCCGCTTCTCCTCACCCTTTTTCCTTCCTCCCAGGCTGCACCAATCTCTGCCCCTTCCCGCAGATACTCTGATAATGGCATTTTAAAATTAAACTGTTAATGTCATTTTTTAAAAATCTACCAATTTTTTAAAAATCTACCCAATAGACTCTAAATACAATAGAAATATATACCCATTCTCAATCTAAAAAATTTATGTACAAGTCAGACATTAATTATTTTCTCCTTTAACTTATTTCCATTCTACTTCCCCCAAAGAATCGTATCCAAATATCTATTTTTATGCTTAAGAATCTCACTGATCACATTATCTTTTTTGGCAAGAGACCCCTATAAATACAATAATCATTTACAGATTCTATATTGGTAAACTCACCTACTTGCTAAAATTTATGTGTAACCCAAAAAATCAATACTTGTGGTACTTTCTCACTCATTTATGGATACGTGCACAGAGGTGAAAAACTTGAATTTCCTTGTCTACACATTCCCAGTGGTGCTCAAACAAGGCCATCTAAAGTCATACTGTAAACAAATGTCCTTTTCTTAGTCTATTTAGTGGCATGTTTTTCAAATGTTTGTGCTTTTGGGTGATGATTTCACTGTTTTAAATGGCCCCCAAGCGTAGTGCTGAAATGCTGTCTAACGTCCCTAAGCGCAAGAAGGATGTGATGTGTCTTACAGAGAAAATACGTGTGTTAGATAAGCTTCGTTCAGGCATGAGTTTTAGTGCTATTGGCCGTGAGTTCAATGTTAATGAATCAACAATACGGTACATCCAGAAAAAAGAAGAGGAGATTCCCTGATCTCCAGATGAGCCTCCACATGAGGCTGCTCCAGAAAGTGCTAAGGTAACCTCTATAGTGTGTGATGAAGCTATGGAAAAGATGGAAAAGCAGCTAAATTTGTGGATTCATGAGATGACAACCAATAAAAAAAGTATAGTGGACAGCATTGTTGTGAGGCTGAAAGCCAAAGAAATTTACAGCCATGTTACCCAGGGCCAGGAAAATGTTAAACCCTTCTCAGCTAGTGCAGGCTGGCTTGCACATCTCAAAAGGTGATACAGCATGAAAAATTTTAAACTTGCAGACAAGGCAGGTTCTGCAGATCAGGAGGCTGCACAAGAATTTAAAAAATACCTGCTAAGCGTCATACATGAAAAGGGTTATGTTGAAGAGCAAATTTCCAATGCTGATGAGACTAGCTTGTTTTATAAGAATGTTGGCAAACAAACCTGTGTAATGCAAATGGTCTCCAAAGCAACTAGCTTTAAAGCATTCAAAGACCAAGCAACCTTGCTATTGTGCACCTATGCCAAGGGCGACTTTAAGTGCAAACCCCTAATGGTATACAAATTCCAAAACCCACGAGCACTTAAAGGGAAAAACCTGAACTGTATGCCAGTCCATTGGAGGTGGAACAAAAATGCATGGATGGTGTCTGAAATATTCTGGGATTGGTTCCACCACTGCTTCATCCCAAAAGTTGAACGCTATCTCCAGGGCAAAAACCTTGCATTTAGGGTATTATTAGTTTTGGATAATGTCCCAGTTCATTGCCATGAAGAACTTGAAAATGCCCACCCCAACATAGAACTTTTTTCATGTCCCCAAATACTCCATCTCTCATCCAACCCCTCAAACAGGGCATTATAAAAATATTCAAGGCACACTACATAAAGGAGCTTTATAGTAAGGCTTTAGAGGCTCTTGAAGCAAACAAGGAAACCACCATGATAGACTACTGGAAATCAATCACTATATGCAATGTTATGGATTATATTGGCACAGCCTGGGACAGCATTAAGCAGGCCACTATCAATAACTGTTGAGAAAATGTCTGGCCAGACTGTGTGAAAAATTTTGAAGGCTTTGAAGGTGTTACAGAAAATATAAAGAACAATGTCAACAGCATAATACATATTGCACAGCAAATAAGTAGAGAAGGTTTCAATAACATGAAGGAAGAAGATGTGGAGGAAATTTTGGCAGAGAAGGCAGTAGAACCAACCAAAAAAAGACATGGATGAGATGGCAAAACATGGCATCAGAGTCAGTAATGAAAGTCACCCTAGGACTCTAAGAATTGTCTCTCTCACAGCAGCCAAAATATCAGAATGGAATTCTGCCTTGGAAAAAATCTTCAATGACATGGAAGAATGTGACCCTATGCTGGAATGCAGCCTCACATTTAGGCGCCTAACTTCCACTGCGTTTGTCCCTTATTCTGAGACTCTGAAAGATCTGAGACGGAAAGCCAGGCAGACAAGGCTAAAACAATTTTTCAAGCCATTTTGAGAGGGGAAGTTGCCAACACCATCAACAAGTTGCAGAAGACAAACTCCTAAGGGAGATCTTTCAGAACACAACATGCCACCCTCATTGATGTCTTCCTCTTCTGTAGGATAAGTTCTACCAACCTCTCCTTTGGTTTTCCTAGGGTAAGCCAAGGTCAAGAGGTTAAGCCACAGCACGCTGACCATCAAATGTCCAGCAGCTCCATCTACAATAAGATTTCAGTTAGTTTTTATAAAACTTTAAATGCCTAATCTTTGCTTAATGCTTTTTTCAGGACTTTCTGTATTTGCATTACTGTACTATATATAGTATAAAGTATGTGTTCACAGTATTATATGTGTTTACTGTCTATGTGTATATGAGTACTATATGTGTATACTGTGTATGACTGAAAGAGTTGAACTAGTACAATCATGGTAGAGTACATTAC